TAAGGATGCATCCTGGAAAATATGGAGTGCTGTATGCACGTAGCAGGCAGCACAACTCCTAATATCATACGGTTTTCAGCCGAAAGTTGGGCAGCATTTGTAAGAAGTTCTCTGGAGTGGGTCAGTTTTGATACTAAAGAAAGCCAAGTTGCAGCAATAGCTGTAGAAAAATATGAGTTAAAGGAAAATGTCTTTGTGTGCCAGCTAATGTTGGCTACCACCGAGAATGTTATATGCAATATGCCAACAGAAGAAACATTGAGAGAGCTCGCAAGAGTAAAGAGAGGGCAATACAGCAGATTGGTTTGTACAACATTGTGGTTTTGACTTTGGACAGTACATTCAATTTCAATTCTCATATCATATATATTCATATATCATACAGTGGTGAAGTATTCAGATCCTTTTGTTATTCATATATCATACAGTGATGAAGTATTCAGATCCTTTTGTTATTCATATATCATACAGCGGTGAAGTATTCAGTTCCTTTTGTTATTCATATATCATACAATGGTGAAGTATTCAGTTCCTTTTGTTATTCATATATCATACAATGGTGAAGTATTCAGTTCCTTTTGTTATTCATATATCATACAATGGTGAAGTATTCAGTTCCTTTTGTTATTCATATATCATACAATGGTGAAGTATTCAGTTCCTTTTGTTATTCATATATCATACAGCGGTGAAGTATTCAGTTCCTTTTGTTATTCATATATCATACAATGGTGAAGTATTCAGTTCCTTTTGTTATTCATATATCATACAATGGTGAAGTATTCAGTTCCTTTTGTTATTCATATATCATACAATGGTGAAGTATTCAGATCCTTTTGTTAAGTAAAAGTGCTAATACCATAGTCATCACATAGTTTGATAGTTAGATAGTTTAGTAGTAGTAGATAGTAGATAGTTTGCATCTGATTTCCTGTCAACTCCATGGTCTCTCGAACCAGCAGGCAAGGATCAAGATGTCACACATGTGTCCAGACGATGTGTAACAGCCTTTCAGTCAATCATTCAGTCAGTCAGTGGCGAAGATGAAGACAGCCCGTCGATGTCGTCCATGACAGCGGGGCCCGAGCAGTGCAGTCAGGATACTCTGAGCGTTAGCTGGGTTACTCACAGCACAGTCCGTTTATTCCTCAGGTTCTCCTCATCGGAAACTATGAACTGCAGCCTCATCAGTAAGCTGAGTTAGCTGTACTCATAGAGGCTGTACTGCGGCTAAAAGTCCATTCACTTTGCTAGTGATGAATGCTAACAACACATCGGTGGCTAATGAGCTAATACACAACGTGAATAACTGTTCAAAACACTTCAACTAAAGTTAGAAACGTCTTCAGCTTCTCACGGAAGATATGCAGAAAATGTCCAGGTGAATACTGTCGGTTAGATAGCATAAAGACCATGAATAAAGAGGACTACATACTTTTTACGGTTAACTCTGGTCAACTCCTCTGAGCCGTGTTTACTTCCTATTTGGGCGAATATCATTGGCACACTTCAAGTCAGGTGACGCTGGAACTTGTTGTTGATTGGTTTGCAGTATAGTACGCCATAGCGTTTGCCTGATTAGTTTATCAAACATAAGTTTAGTTTTCATAAAAATATGATCAAATTGAGACTGCCAACAAACGGAAACGTGTTCAGAAAAAATATATTAAGTTAATGTTAAAAAAGCAGCTACTCTATCGCTGAGGATCAATCATTTCAAAAACAAAAGCAGAGAGCGACCTTCGGCCCACCGCTTAATCTTGGCCAGGCCTCCCTTGAAAAAGAGGTTGTTAATCTCAGTGGGATCTTCCTGGTTAAATAAAGGTTAAATAAAAAAATAAAAAAATAGAAATGTTATTTTATATGCAAATATTTTAATAAAGTAGGCTATTTCTTGTTTAAGTACATGGGATCTTAGGATTTTTTTTCTTTTTACCATGGTATCGACTTTGGTATCGAGAATTGTGTAATTTTACTGGTATCGGCACTGACTACTGAATTTTTGGTATCGTGACATCCCTACTGTCCTGTACTAACGTTTTTTAAACAAATACAACATGCTAACGTTATTAGCACAAGTATATGGCATTTTACATTGTATGGATTAGCCTAGCGGCCGGCGATCTTTCCCTCTTCTCATATGAAACCTGGATAAATCCTGAAGTATAAATCCCTGAAGGATAAGTCACATCACACACAAGACTTAAAATGCTATTTTAGTGGAGGCCTTACAGTCTTCACAATTTATTGTTTCTTATATATGAACTAAAAGTAAATACAAGCTCTGTTTCCCCCTGAGGGAAATGGTGTCAGTATACAGCGACAGACAGGAGGTTTGCGTCACTGCGACGTGTAGAATTCTGGGGAGGTGCATGTCAGGCTACAGCATAGGCTCCAAAATGACGTGGAACCTACGCCGTAACCTATGCGTCGATTCAACGCAGAACTATAAATTACATGTCACTTGACCGCAGTTAGATAATTAGCTTACCAAGAAGGAAGTGGGTATGCTTTCCCCTATATTCTTATGGCTTTTTGGCTGATGGTGGGTATACTGTAAAAGTTAGCTATACCCGCATACACCCTCCACTGCACCAAGCGAGATTAGTGGATTAGTGAAGTTTGTTGCCACTTAACAACAGCATTTCCCAAGCTTTTTCCTTTAAGGACCGACAAACCCTGACTAACCTTAAGTAACATTTTATGGATTTATATTATATTATATTCAGTGCATATCAATAACAGTACAAAACAAAAGATAAGATGTAGGATTAGCACAAACAGCAAGTGCAATAACTGCTGGAAATTTGTGTGAAATTAGCGATTTGGATGAATTTTAATAACTTTATTTGTATAGCACTTATCTGAACAAGGTTACAAAGTGCTTCACAAAGTGCATGGAAATAAGACAGAAATAAGATTACAATAATTAAAATAATGTTATGAGCTAAGAAAAATTGTGTGTATAGAAGCAAAAACAGAGCAAAAGGAAATAAAACACAGAAGGTGCACATCACAAAACTACAAATCAGGCAATCAAGACAAGCTTTCCTATAAAAATATGTTTTAAGCAATGATTTGAAAATGGTAAATGTGCAGATCCTGTCATTTTTAGAAACTCTTTATATAATTCTCTGTTGGTATAATGTTTTTTATTTATTTCTTTTATTTTAACAATCACATGGCTTTGTGAATATAGCACGTCTTCACTGTGCCCTCATCTTCTGAGACTATGGGCCCTATTTAGATGGTCTAAAGCAGATGGCGGAGGGCGCATAATCCATGTCGCAAGTGTTATTGCTATTTAGATGCAGGCGCAGTTGTCATTTTCATGCCCTGCGCCCTCGTCGTCTAACTAGCAAATGAACTTGCGCTTCTCTGGGTGTGTTGGTCTAAAAATGAGGAGTGGTCAGGCGCAGTCATGGCGCGTTGCTAGTTAGATGACGTAAAAAGCAAATGCGCCAGTAACCAACAAAAACCTGGTCTAAAGTCAACGCTGCAGTATTTCGCTGTTAAACAAGTTAGTAATATGCGTCTCTAGGCGGGTGCACAACGCGCGTGCACTCTGCTCAGACACACACGGAGCAGCCACACATATGCAAAAGATAACAAATAAAAATATGATTACAATGTGAAAGGTTATTATTGTGCACATTAAAATATTTATCAGAAACATGTCTTAATGGTCAGTCATTAATCATAATGATCTAATCAAAGTAATAATGATCATCATAATTTGTAATAATGACAAATGAAATTTTTTTGATTGAAAACCAAAGCCCACACATTGCATTTATTTAACATGTTATACTAGGCTGCATTAGCCCATATACTAGCCTACATTATATTATATTATTATATTGTTATCTGAGTGTAGAGAGGACACACATGCAAATAAGAGGCAGAACACAGCTCTAGGAAACATGTGAAAACAATTAACAAACGTGGGTGGGGGAGAAAACGCTGAACAGATCCTAGCTGCAGGATCAGCACCATGGGGAGCTCCGCGGCAGTCCTGACAGCTGTGCTCTGTTATATGATGAAAACAGGTTTGAATAATATTCCACAGATATTTAGTAAGATCTTTCTTGTATTAGTGATCCCACGCCTGCTTTACCTCGGGGAGCTTGGGTGTCTGTCTGCTGTCCCCGTAGATCTGGTTCTGACGGGCCTTCACCTCCCGCACGAGGAGATCTGTCTCCTCAGCTGTAAAACGCTCACTCTTTCCAGTTGGTAGGTCCGCCATCTAACTAGCTGTCCACCATGCGCTCCAATCGCGCCTCTTTTAAAGGGAATGTGAGGTGACACTCTGATTGGCTTATTGAATGATACGCCCAAAACACACCCATGACTAATTTACAGAGTAAGTCCAACCCTTTTAGACTCTCCGCCATGGCGCACAGTCTAAAAACATGCTGTCTAACTAGCAAGTGACTGGGACACGCCCATGGGCCGCACACCTGGCGCTTCACGTTTTAGACCATCTAAATAGGGCCCTTTAAGTTAAGATATTGAATAATACGTTAAACTTTTAAAATAACAATTTCATTTATTTGTCTTCACGGAAATGAATGACTGTATGGATTTTTTAAAAAAGTTTTCATACACCCTTTAAAATCAAGGAGGCCAAACGCAACCCCCTATAAAGCTTTGGTGACCCCTTTACAATATGGTACACAAAATGTGATTAGTTACTAAGGAATGAGAAAATGATTTAGGAATGACCTGATAATTACAATAAAAAACCCACAGTCACATAAACCCCATTTGTTAAAGTTGAAGTTTAAAGTAATAATACCCATATTTAATTTTGTAGTGTGTAAGTTTGCATCACTGACTGCTTACATGGCATTAGTCGCTGTGTTTTTGTACATATCTTATTTTATGTTTAAATTCAGATCTCTTTACAGATTTTACCTAAACCCAGTTCCCATACGGAGTGTTTGCCATCATTTTATGAAACCTGAGGCTGATCTTGCACTCCCTGGAACATTAAAATAGTTTGACAGTTTTTCTCCTTTCTCTTAAAACACCTCCAAACTATTGATGAAGCTCCTCTTTTGTAGATATCTCCAAAAACCTCTCTTGTCCATTCTGACAAGATGAGCTCTTGGAAGGATTGTAAATTATTTGAAGAAAAAAAAAAAAAGAAAAACAGACTTTAAAACAAAGTATGATTTAGTAACAATCATGTAGTTTACTGTCTCTTTGATGTTGTGAAAATGATGTCTCCCTTTGAACATAGTGGTTATTGTGTGTGTCTCTTCCCAGACTTGAGAAGATGAGTGATTTAGAGGAAGAGAAGGACAAAGCAGAGTCTGGAGGATCAAGCTCTTTGTCTATGAAGAGTGACCGCTTTAAAGTTTATCCTTCAGACTTCAGTAATCAACCTGGACCATCAGACACACAGTAAGAGACTGTTTCTACTGTAATGCGTAACATATTGGACATGAGTAGGATTGGTGCCTTTTTATAACTGCAAATTATGTCAAACTTCGTCAAGACCTGTTTTTATTCTTCTAGTAGGCAACCAAAAGTTTAATTTGAATTTGCAACATTATGTATACACACACACACACACACACACACACACACTTACTTACTTGCTTATGGCAGTCCATCGACTTTGATGATGACATTGCTCCAAAAATTAAGTTCTTGTTATTGGGGTGCTTTCCGCCTACGCATAGCCATGTGGCTGTGCAGGCTGATGTGAGATCCACAGATTTTGCCACAAGACAGGCAGGGATATCCAGCACCAACAGGGGGAGGCCCTGCAGCACGTTGGTGCCTCTGTGCACGGCGCTGATTCCTCCTCTCTGTGGCTTGCTCCTGAAGATGAGCTATTCCCTGTTGGCAGGTGGCACGCCAGGTGTTGCGGGTAGCCGCAAGGGGCTCAAGTGCGGGTGGACTGATGTTGCACTTCTTCAGGAGAGTTTTGAGGTGATCCTTGAAGCGCCTCTTCTGGCCCCCAGCAGACCTGTGGCCTTCTAAAAGCTGGCCATACAAGATTTGTCTGGAAAGGCGATGGGCAGGCATACGGATCACATGCCCAACCCAGCGGAGATGTTTGTGCGCAAGGAATACTGCAGTGCTGGGTGTGTGGGTCCGTTCATAAATGTCCACATATGGCACCCTGTCTTCCCAGGAGACACCCAGGATCCTCTGCAGGCAGTGGATATGGAAGGCCTCTAGAGTTCTTATGTGCCTCTGGTAGGGGGTCCAGGTTTCCGAGCTGTACAGCAGTGTGGAGAGGCAAACTGCCCTGTACACAGATTTGGTGGAGATGGTAAGATTCTTGTTCTGGAATACCCTGGACTTGAGCCTTCCAAAAGCTGCTGAGGCTGAGCTGATGCGCACCTGGACTTCCTCGTCGATGTTGCATGAAGGAGACAGGGTGCTACCAAGGTAGGTGAAATATGGGACGATGGCGAGTGGATGGCCATCCATGGTGAAGGTAGGTGTGCGAGGTTGGGGGATGGATTCCTGCACGAGTATTTGTATTTTCGCAATGTTGATCTGAAGACCGATGGCGCCGTATACAGATGAGACTGCATTCAGTGCACTCTGTAGGTATTCTGGGGAGTGGGCCAGTAGAGCACAGTCGTCTGCATACTGTAGCCCCAGAATGCGTTGGGTGGTAGTTTTTGTGCTGGCTTGAAGGCGCCGGATGTTAAACAGATTACCATCCAATCTGTACTGAATCTGCACTCCATCAGAGGGATCCAGAAGCTTGTATGAAAGGAGGGTGACACTGGAGAGAAACATATTGAATATGGTTGGAGCTAGCACACACGCTTGCTTGACTCCCACCTCCACACTGAAGAAGGGGGATTGTTGGTCGCCAACACTGACGCAGGCTTGCATCCCGTCGTGCAGCTGCCGCAAGATGTTCTTGAACTTTGGAGGAACCCCCAACTTCCCGAGTATTTCCCATAGCAGTTCCCAATTGACAGTGTCGAAGGCCTTGGAGAGATCAATAAACGCAAGGTACAGGTCCTTGCAGTGTTCCCTGCACTTTTCCTGTACCTGTCTAGCGACAAAAATCATATCTGAGGTGCTTCGATCACGCCTAAAACCACACTGGGATTTGGGCAGAATGCTCTCAGTGTGGGATGCTAGTCGAAGTAGCATAATCCGAGCTAGAACAGTGAGGAAACGCTACCTATCTTCTGAAGTGGCTGCAAATTTTATCCAGATTTTACAGAGCACTCCTGCAGAGATTTTACCAGCACCCTGTGATTTTATTGTGAACAATTTTAACAACAAACTCAAGTCAACGCTGGACTCAGTGGCTCCACTTTTAATCAAAACAATTAGAACAAAACCTACACCCCCATGGAGAAAACAGGAAATCAAACAACTGAAAAGATACTGCAGGAGTGCTGAGAGAAGGTGGAGAAAATCAAACCTAACAGTCCACTACGAAATATTATGTCAACATCTCAAAACCTACAATAACGCAGTCAAACAGGCAAGAATTTCCCACTTCAAAAAACTAATCTCTGACAATAAAAACAATCCCAAATTCCTCTTCTCCACAATTGATATTTTAACAAACAGTAATTTTAACAGATCACCTAAGACAACAACCAATGCCCTTT